AAAAAAAAAAAAAAAAATTAGCTGAGCATGGTGGCACATACCTGTAATCCGAGCTACTTGGGAGGCTGAGGCAGAGGATCATATAAGCCTGTAAGTTTGAGACTGCAGTGAGCCATGGTCACACAACTGCACTCCAGCCTGGGCAACAGAGCAAGACCTCGTCTCAAAAAAAAAGATGAAAGCATTCTGGATGTGGTGGCTCATGCCTGTAATCCCAGTACTTTGGGAGGCCAAGGCAGGTGAATCACTTGAGGCCAGTGGTTCAAGACTACCCTGGCCAACATGGTGAAACCTCCTCTATACAAGAAATACAAAAACTAGCAAGGCATGGTGGCACGTGCCTATAATACCAGCTACTCCAGATGCTGAAGCAAGAGAATCACCTGAACCCAAGAGGCAGAGATTGCAGTGAGCTGAGGTTGTGCTATTGCACTCCAACCTGGGCAACAAAGGCAAAACTCTGCCCCCGCGTCCCTCTCGCCAAAAAAGAGAGACAAGGGTTAATAATTAATGGTGATGATGTCTTTAAAATAAAGCACAAAACAGGGGCCCTGCACCCCCAGCAGCAAGGATTGTAGCATGGGTTTCCGTGACGGCAGCTGCGGTGCCCAGACCCAGCGCATCCGGTGTAGGACCCCCCCTCCAAACTGGAAGAAGGAGTTTGGAGCCGACTGCAAGTACAAGTTTGAGAACTGGGGTGCGTGTGATGGGGGCACCGGCACCAAAGTCCACCAGGGCACCCTGAAGAAGGTGCACTACAATGCCCAGTGCCAGGAGACCATCCGCATGACCAAGCCCTGCACCCCCAAGACCAAAGCCAAGGCCAAAACCAAAAAAGGGAAGGGAAAGGACTAGAGGTCAAGCCTGGATGCCAAGGAGCTCCTAGTGTTACCTGGGGCCTGGCCCAAGCCTTCCCTCTCCCTGGCCTGAGATATGACCTGCCAGTGCCTTCTGTCTGCTTGTTAGCTTTAATCAATCATGCCCTGCCTTGTCCCTTTCACTGCCCAGCCCCACCCCTAAGTACCCAAAGTGAGGAGGGACAAGGGATTCTGGGAAGTCTGAGCTTCCCCAGAGCAATGTGAGTCCCAGAGCCCACTTTGTTCTTCCCCACGATTCCATTACTAAGAAACACATTAAATAAACTGAATTTCCCCACACCACCCCCAAAAAATGAAAATCACTAAAAATCTTTTACTCACAGAAAAAAACAAATAAATAAAAATAAAAATAAAATAAAGCACAAAAATAATGGTAGAAATCAGATTTATTATAAACCCTAACACAGGCCAGGCACAGTGGCTCATGCCTGTAATCCCAGCACTTTGGGAGGCCAAGGAGGGTGAATCACCTGAGGTCACCGAGGTCAGGAGTTTGAGACCCCAAATAAAAAAAGGAGGGGGGGGGATTATCACACTCTCTTTTGGTGAATGCCCTGCTACCACACAAATTCTGAAACAAGATATAGAATTTAACTTTCAGAATCATCTGCTAATGTGAAGTGGCAACTAGAAAAGAAAATTGATTTTAAAATGAATTATGAAACAACAAAATGGTACAAGTTTTGAGTTCACTTTTTTTTTCTTTTTAAAATGGAGTTTCGCTCTTATTGCCCAGGCTGGAGTGCAATGGCACAATCTCGGCTCACTGGAACCAATGTCTCCCAGGTTCAAGTGATTCTCCTGCCTCAGCCTCCCAAATAACTGGGACTACAGGAGTGTGCAACCATACCTGGCTAATTTTGCATTTTTAGGAGAGACAGGGTTTAACCATGTTGGTCAGGCTGGTCTCGAACTCCTGACCTCAAGTGAACCACTCACCTCAACCTCCCAAAGTGCTAGGATTACAGGTGTGAGCCACTGCACCCGGCCTTGAGTTCACATTTTGATATAACCTAAACTGCAACGTACCAGGGATTTCAAGATACTGAATCAAAATGAGGGCATGAATGTAGGCCCCCAAATACCCTTCAGTCCTACTAAATTGACAGAAGGCCCAAATGCCTGGAATCTTGTCCATTTTAATTTTAAAAAATTTTTTATGTTCACAATTTTGTTAGAGCTAAAGAATCACAACAGTTCATCAAAGTGCAAGATAGAGTATTTAGCTGTTTCTGAAAAGCCAAAAATGGTTCATCAGAAGCTAATTTGAGTTGTCTTAAAGAAGTAGTAATAGGCTGGGAGCAGTGGCTCATGCCTGTAATTCCAGCACTTTGGGAGGCTGAGGCAGGTGGATCATGAGGTCAGGAGTTCAAGACCAGTCTGGCCAAGATGGTAAAACTCCATCTCTATTAAAAATACAAAAAAATTAGCTGGGCATGGTGGTGGGCACCTGTAATCCCAGCTACTTGGGAGCCTGAGGCAGTGAACTGCTTGAACCTGGGAGGCAGAGGTTGCAGTAAGCCGAGATCGCACAAGTGCACTCCAGCCTGGGCAATAGAGTGAGACTCTGTCTCAAAAAAAACAAAAAGTAGTAACAATGGTATATTGACTAATTGTTTTAAGAAAGTGGAATTGGCTGGTCCGAAGGTAGTGAGTTATCTCGATTGTTCAGTTAGTCAGTTACAGATCGAACTCCTTGTTCTACTCTTTCCCCGCTTCTCACTACTGTACTTGACTAGTCTTAAAAAAAAATTTTTTTTTAAAAAAGAAAGAAAGTGGAATTTACCCAAGCACAACAATCAATCTTACATGTTCAATATCAATTAAAAGTATCACTCTAAATAAAGAATTGGAAGCTGGGCACAGTAGCATGTGCCCATAGTCCCAGCTACTCTGGAGGCTAAGGCAGGAGGATCCCTTGTGCATAGGAGTTTGAGACCAGCATGCACATGACATAGCAAGATCCCAGTCTCTTCAAAAAAAACCAACAATTTGGGGCCAGCCACAACACTTTGGGAGGTCAAGGCAGGCAAATCACTTGAGCCCAGGAATTTGAGACCAGCCTGGGCAACAGGACAAAAACCCATCTCTACAAAAAATTAGGCAAAGTGGCAGGCATCTGTGGTTCCAGCTACCTAGGAGGCTGAGGTGGGAGGATTACCTAAGCCCCGGTGGTCAAGGGTGTAGTGAGGTGTGATCGTGCCACTACACTCCAGCCTGGGCAGTGTGAGACTCTGTCTCACAAAGAGAAAAAAAAATTTAAAAAGAAACACAATTTAGGGATAACATTAAGAGAAATACCTAATGTAGATGACGGGGGGGATGGATGCAGCAAACCACCATGGCATGTGTATACCTATGTTATAATCCTGCACAATTTGCACATGTACCCCAGAACTTAAAGTATAATTTAAAAAAACAGAAACACAATTTAAAAGAAATCTAGTTACACTCTTCCTAACAACATTTGACAGTTAAGGACAAATTATTTCTTATAATTTGTAATTAAGATTACTGAAGAAAAAAAAGAAAAGAGAAAAAACAAAGAAGCAGACCTGACCAGTATTTCCTTACAAAGATATCTAAGAGTAGGTAACTGGTTATATATTAATTATTGATAAACAGAATATAGGATTCTAGGATTCTCATAAACAAAATAATGATATCAGATCATCACCTAATCCTATTCCTGCAGCCATTTTATACACAGAACTACATGAGCATTTGACTCTTACCACTGAAAATGTCAAGGCACTGGGTATGCTATTTATAAGATGACTGAGGGCTATATTTGTTAACATACAAGAGTGACATCCAATGAATGATTAATGTATCCTTGTATTATTTGTAAATATTTACTTATGGCAAATATGGATCTATGCTGTTTTTTTCTAAGGTAGAAGATTAAAAGGCATTTAACCAAAGTAAGTTGAGAAACAAAACTCTGGCATAAACCAGTATTTTTAGAAAGGAACAATTAAGGCACTTAGAAAACATTGCAATTCAAACAGTTAAAGGACCCATTTATCATAACCAGGTATCTTCCTATCCATCAGATAGCTAATAATTTTTCTCTCCATATAATCAATATATACGTTTGGGTCAAAAGATTAGATTTTCAGTCAGGTTTGGGTGCCCACTGGTCTTTATCTAATTTCTATTAAAATAATCATCTATCTTATTTTACTTTATTTATTTGATTTTTGTAAAGATGGGGTCTTTGTTGCCCAGGCTAATCTCCAATTCCTGGGCTCAAGCTACCTTCCCACCTTTGCCTCTAAAAGTACAGAGATTATAGGCGTGAGCCACCATTCCTGGCCCATAATCTCTTAAACGCAATGCATCTGAGCCACCATTCCTGGCCCATAATCTCTTAAACACAATGCATCACCACACCAGACAATAATACTTCCACATCTCTCTTTTTTTTTTTTTTTTTCCCAAGTCCAAATTGTATCTTTCTAGTGCAGCAGTTATCTAAGTGTAAGAGGACCTGAGAGGTCTCCCAAAACCCTTTTAGGAGATCTGTGAGATCTTCCCTATTTCAACTGTGTATCTGTGTGAGGCCAGATTTTCTTCATATACTTCACCCAAAAAACCTTATAATCATAGTTTGAATACAGAATTGGTTATGAAAATCTAACTACGTTATTAAATCAGACGTTTAAAAGATTTCCAGGCCAGGCACAGTGGCTCACGCCTGTAATCTCAGCACTTTGGGAGGCTGAGGCAGGTGGATCACTTGCCCTAAGGATTTGGGATCAGCCTGGCCAACATGGCAAAATCC